TTTTTTTTTTGTTTGGCAGGCCCAGGCTGGATTCGAACTCACCACCTTAGGTGTATGTGGCTGATGCCTTAGCCGCTTGAGCCACAGGCGCTGAGCCTTATTAACAGTTTTAAGTTGAGCATTGTGGCAGATGCCTGTAGTCCCAGCTACATGGGAGGCTGAGAATCGCTTAAGCCCAAGAGTTTGAGGTTGCTGTGAGCTGTGACGCCACAGACCTCTACCAAGAGCGACATAGTGAGACTCTGTCTCAAAAAAAAAAAGTTTAAATATACTATATTGGCATTTGTTTTCTATTTGTTTCTGTGTGTCCATTCTATTTTTTCTCTTTTTCTGCCTTCCTATGGATTATTCTAAAATAGATTTCATTTATTTATTTATTTATTTTGAGACAGTCTTACTTGTCACTCTCCATTAGAGTGCTATGGCATCACAGCTCACAGCAACCTCAAATTCTTGGGCTTAAGCGATTCTCTTGCCTCAGCCTCCCAAGTAGCTAGGACTACAGGCACCTGCCACGACACCTGGCTATTTTTTTATTGCAGTTGTTATTGTTGTTTAGCTGGCCCAGGCTGGGTTCAAATCCACCACCCTTGGTGCATGTGGTTGGTGCTGTAACCACTATGCTATGGGCGCCAAGCCATTTTTATTTTTTTGGAGACAAGGTCTTGCTCTGTTGTCCATGCTGGAGGCTAGTCACTGCAGCCTTGACCCCTGGCCTCAAGCAGTCTTCCTGCCTCAGCCTCCCAGGCAGCTATGATTTATAGGCCTGCACCACTGTACTCAGCTAATTAAAAAAATAGAGACAGTCTCACTGTGTTCCCACAGGCTGGTCTCAAACTCCTGGACTCAAAAGATCTTTTTGCCTCCGCTCCCTGAGCCACCACACCAGGCTCATCTCTCAGGCATCTTTCTGGCTGTGGATTCCCCTTGTTTTGGTTCATGGTCATGCACATTGGTGATCATTGAACACGTTTATTTGATAGGATGCTGTTCTTTTCTGTTTGCACTCTTGGATCACGTAGAGGTTTCTTGGGTTCCATTTGTCAGTAGCTTATTAGGTAACTGCACCGAAGAGGACTTCTCTGCAGGGGTGTTCCATGGCCTGCTACGTAGGAACTGTGAATCCCAGTTTTGTGTGATGGGGATTTAAGATACTCAGGAAATGTATAGCATTATCACAAGTAAGTACAAAAATAATTAGACTTAGTGTCATTCATACATAATTTAATTTACCATCGTATCCTAACCAGATTTTGAGTATAAAATTTGTTTTTAATTTGGATAAATTGCCACTTTTATTTTTTATCTCTAGTTTCTTTTTTGTTTATCTTTGAGAAAGCCTAAAAGAGTTTCATTTCCTTTGTGATTCTCAGGAGCTAAAACCATTTCTCTAAGCAGGTCTACTCTGTCCACCAGGGACTGCTCGGGCCCAGCAGTATCACTCACACATTATTTTTCTCCATTGGAGATTCAGCAGAGGGGAGAGGGGAGCACTGTACCTCTTAACCTACTTGGTAGACTCTCTCAGGTAAACAGGAATGTGTTTCTCCAAAGACACGCACATTTATAGCTTCTTCTGGCTTCAGTCAAAACATAAAAGATGCTTTGTTTCATTGGAATAACCCCATTTTTTTCTTCTCTCTCAATAAGTCTGTTTTAGGAAGGTACCTGTGTTAATCCAGCAGAGAGTCCCTGTGTACATGAGGATTGTGAAGTTGTTTGATAGTTTTCTTCTGTGAGGCAAGGGCCTATTTTTATCTTTTTTCTTTTAAGTTAATTTTCTGATGGAAAGATATTAGTCCTCCCTAAATCTAGAGGGAGTTCTGAAAAATAAAACTAGATACTACTGATACATATGCCAGTGAAAGTAGCTTTGGGCTGAAGAGAAAGCAGTTGATTGAAAAATTGCCACTAGGAGCCAAGAAATTTTGTTTGTGATTGTACTGACAAATAATGTTCCCATTAACAACTAGGTAACTTCTGAATTAATAGCTCCCTGCATACTGTGTTCAGGGATGACAAGATAGCAAGAACGCTTTCTGCAAATAGGGGTGCACTTTTTGTGCCGTAGCAGAGGCGTGGGTGAAGATGGAATGGTGGTACGTTTGTATCCCTTACATGCTGGCCTGTTGGACCATGGTTCTTGGGGGGGAGCTGCTGCAAGGAGTTGAGGTCCCTTCTTTGGGTAGCACCTTTGAGCCTTATGTGGCAGCAAATGGAATGCACCCCAAAGAACCTATGGAATGTTTTTTCAGCCTTGGTAAAGAGAATCAGGAATTTCCTGTGTAGTTTAGAATAGGGGGGAGGTCTTATTATTTAGATTAGAAAAAGATCTAGATCTGAATAGTTAGAAAATTGTTTTTTCTTAGTATTACAGGAAGGAAATAAGTTAAAGGTCACTGCTTTGACTTTCATGCTAAAAATCCAAATTGCTGCTCAGTGCCCATAGCTCAGTGGTTAGGGAGCCAGACACATACACTGAGGCTGGCAGGTTCAAACTCAGCCAGGCCTGCTAAAACAACAATGACAACTACAACAAAAAAATAGCCTGGTGTTGCAGTGGGTGCCTGTAGTCCCAGCTACTTGGGAGACTGAGGCAAGAGAATCGCTTAAGCCCAAGAGTTTCAGGTTGCTGTGAGCTGTGATGCCACAGTACTCTACCAAGGGTGACAAAGTAAGACTGTCTCAAAAAAAAAAACAAACCAAATTTCCTTTTTTTTTTTTGTAGGCAGAGTCTCACTATGTCACCCTCAGTAGAGTGCTAAGGCGCCACAGCTCACAGCAACCTCAAACTCTTGGGCCTAAGTGATTCTCTTGCCTCAGCCTCCCAAATAGCTGAGACTACAGGTGCCCACTTCAATGCCCAGCTATTTTTAGAGAAGAGGTCTCGCTCTGGCTCAGGCCAGTCTTGAACCTGTGAGCTCAGACAGACCACCCACCTCAGCCTCCTAGATTGCTAGGATTACAGGCATGAGCCACCACACCCAGCCTCTAAATTTCATTTAAAAAATTTATTCTTCGATCTAAAATCCATCAAATGAATTTGGTTGGGGTCAAAGACATCATTTGTATTCTACTCAGAAATGGTATCTTTTATTAGATGGAAAATTGGCCCAAAGATGAATGTGATTTCTACCCTGTCTTCCCTTTCTCTGAGTGGACACTTTGTGTGTTTTTCAGTTCTTCGGTGCCATACTCCACAGCCAAAACGCCTCACGCAGTGATAACCCCAGTGGCTGCTAACCAAGCCAAGCAGGTACTGTATTGATTTTTACTTTAGCATTCATGCATTGTCTATCTTTGTAATTGAGAACTGTACTGTGCTAAATCTTGACTTTGTGTATATGAACCATAAGTCTGATAAAGGCTCAGGATCCTTACCCCATAACTTATGCCAGTGTTGACATGGTTATTAATGAGATTGGTCTTCAGGGCCTAATACTGTCTTCATAGACCGTTTGACATTCTGCACCTAGAAATCTTGGGTTGTAATTCTCATACCTTACATTTGTCTGAAGAATTATATTTTACTTTCATTTAACATTATCTCAGTTAATCCATACAACAGCCATGTGCAGTAGTAGGCAGGGCAGGTGTTTAGTTATGTCTTACTGCTGTAAGAAGCCTAGGCATGTTCACGGATTAGTAAGTGGAGGAACTAGAGCTGGGCCCAAGGCTTCTGACATCTTGTCTAGTGCTTTTTTTCACGACACTGCTCAATATCTGGGGGATAGGTTATCTTGTTTTCTCCTGCAAACTCTGTTTTTCAGAGTTTGCATATTTTCAGTGATGTTATGTCTAGCTTCAGGCTTTTGCCTGATAAACGTTTGTCTCCTACAAAAATAAGTTATATTGTAAACAGTTAAATAATCTGGAAGTAAATAGTAGGAGATGACTGGAGGGTAGATCAAGCTTTCTCTGAAACGTTTCCTAAGAAATCCTGGTTTCTCTACTGTTCGTCTCTGAAATCAGTAACTTTAGTTTGTGTTTGGGCTTAAACGTAATATCAGGACTAGCCTCTGTGTTCCTTAGTTTACCTTGACTTAAAATGGCACTTAAGCATTTAGCCTTTGATCTTTTTTCTGGAGGTTTTCATGTTCAACAGGGAGGACACATGATAAGGCATAAATCATGACAAATGAGTGAGGAAACATTGGCTAGAGATGGATAAATTGAGCAGTTTTGCTTTTAACTTTATTGTAAGTCCATTGAGAGCTAGAACCATTTTACTCATTCATTAATTCATGTACCAAATACTCGAGTGACTTTTATGTGCCAAGCACTGTGCAAGGCACTGGGGAACTAACCACAAACCAGGCAGGCGTGACTTTGCCTCTTCCAGAACATTTCTGCTTCCTTCCTCTCATATGATCTTATAAGTGGTTGACTTAAATTGAAACTTTCTTTTACTTCTGTTTTTTTTTTTTTTGTAATTAAGCTAAATAAAAGTGTTTGTACTTGGTTACTTCAAATTGTATTTTTATATTTACATTTTATATGTTCCTCTATTTCAGAGGATGGTTAGTGTTTTAACATTTTGCTTGTACTCTGTTATAGGGGTCTCTCATAAATTCCCTAAAGCCATCTGGGCCCACACCAGCATCCAGTCAGTTGTCATCTGGTGATAAAGCTTCAGGTCTGTTTGCATTCTTGTTTTCCTAAAAACAAAAGTAAAAGATGCACTCCACAGTGGAGTTCCTTATTGAAGATCACAGAGGCAGTTGGTGTAGGAAGTCAGGTACAGAGATCATACATGTATTTGAAAGACCTCAGCTAATGAAGAATTTCTAGAAAATTAGTGAACCCTTCAACAGCTATGTAGATTTCTGAAATTTTGAGGTTGGTTTGAGAAACTTTAGAGCATTAGGAACTTCCTTTAAATTCTAAAAAAGAACAATAGTATTTTCTTCTCCTGGCTTACTGGATGGTCAGTATTCAGAGCAAAGTGGATAAGCATATTGAATTGTTTCTTCTTCTAAAAGGAATTAAAAATTCTCTTGGTTCATAGTCATAATTCAGAAGCTGGTAAGAAATAGAAAGTAAAACAAAGTTGTTGCAATGTAAGATCAGAGTAGATAAAGTAAGTCAATATTGTAAGTTTTGTGGCATCACATACTTCCCCAGCACTCACTCAAGCATAATTATCCTAATTAGCTTTCATAGTAACCATAAACGTTCTGATCAAACATTTTCCCAAGCCAAATTAAAGCAGCATGCTTTATTTAAACCTAGGTTTTATGTCCCTCTCCCTCAGTGTCCCCTGTTGTTGGCTCCTTTTCATGCCCCACCTGGTTGGGCATATATTGCTCCCACTCCCAGGGTCTTATGCTGCCCACAGTCCTGCATTTTTACCACACCCTGGACTCTGGCTTTTATTTTGACTCATGCTCTCAAATGTGTCTTCAAGCAAATTCTGTTAGAAACTCCGAACTTCACACATTGGCAGCCTCCATCCAGGAATCCCTACTCAGTTATACAATCATTCTAACATTGCTTGGTCATCTAGCACTTTCTAATTAGATTTTGCATTTATCTTAAGTAACTATTCCTTGTACTTAGAAGAAAAACATTATGTAAGTCAAAGTTGTATTCTAGAATTGAATACTTGCAAGCCCAGTTTTTTCATGCATGCCTCGCCCAAGAAGGAGGTATACAACACTTCTCAATTGGGGCTTAAAGCTTTATGTTAAAAGGAAAATTTTAGTGGAATGGTCAAAGGCTTTTGAATCATTTAGGATTCAAATTGACCAATTTATTTCTATTTCTGGCAAATATTTTAGAACTTGTTTTTTTTATTTTTTTGAAACAAGTCACACTCTGTTGTTTAGGCTGGAGTACATCCAAGCCTATAGCTCACAGCAACCGCAAACCCCTGAGCTCAGGCAATCCTCCTGCCTCAGCCTCTTGAGTAGCTGGGACCATAGGTGCCCACCACCACACCCACCTAATTATTCTATTTTTGTGGAAATGAGGTCTTGCTATGTAACTCAGACTGGTCTTGAATTTCTGGCCTTAAGTAATCCTCCTGCCTCAGTCTCCTAAAGTGCTAGGAGTATAGACATGAGCTATACCTATAGTACCCAGTCAGAAATAGTTTTTTTGTTTGTTTGTTTTGTTTTGTTTTTTGATACAGAGTCTTACTATGTCACCCTCGGTAGAGTGATGTGACGTCACAGCATAGCTCACAGCAGCCTCAAACTCTTGGGCTTAAGTGATTCTCTTTCCTCAGTGTCCCACGTAGCTGGGACTACAGGCCCCCGCCACAATGCCTGGCTATTTTTTGTTGCAGTTGTCATTGTTGTTTAGCAGACCCAAACCTGCCAGCCTCAGTGTATATGGCTGGCTCCATAACCACTGTGCTACGGACACTGAGCCAAGAAGTAGTTTTTGAGATCATATATCCTAACATTTTTTCAAGACTTCATTGGAGAGTTTTTTGTCACTCTTGAAGCTAAGAATCAAGGAAATCCAAGGGACTTTGCTTCATTCATATCTTAGGCAAGTAGTGTGAGTCTCAAATTTCTGTGATTCACCACTTAGTGGTGTTCTCACTTGCTGTGGAGTCAAGGTTTAGCAAAGAATTTTTTTCTTCTGGTAGGAAAACTTCTCTGAAAAATACTATTTAAGAGGTTGTAAAGAGTTTCTCTTTTTTAAGAAAAGCATCTTTTGGGGATGATGCCTGTGGCTCAGTGAGTAGGGCACCGGCCCCAAATACCAAGGATGGCGGATTTGAACCCGGCCCCAGCCAAACTGCAACAACAAAATAGCTGGACATTGTGGTGGGTGCCTGTAGTCCCAGCTACTTGGAAGGCTGAGGCAATAGAATCGCCTAAGCCCAAGACCTGGAGGCTGCTTTGAGCTGTGACGCCACAGAATGAGACTCTGTCTCAAAAAAAAAAAAAAAATTAAAAAGAAAAAAAAGAAAAGCATCTTTGGGTCAGGTACCATGGCTTGTGCCTATAATCGTAGCACTCTGAAAGGCTAAGGCAGGTAGATTGCCTGAGTTCAGGAGTTCCAGACCAGTCTGAGTAAAAGCGAGATGTCATCTCTAAAAAACAGCCAGGGGTTGTGGTGGGTGCCTAATAGGTCCCAGCTACTTGGGAAGCCCAGGCAAGAAGATGACTTGAGGGCGGCAGCCCCATATACTGAGACTGGCAGGTTCAAACCCAGCCTGGGCCTGAACAACAATGACAACTGCAACCAAAAAATAGCCGGGCGTTGCGGTGGATGCCTGTAGTCCCAGATACCTAGGAAGCTGAGGCAAGAGAATCACTTAAGCCCAAGAGTATGAGGTTGCTGTGAGCTGTGATGCCACAGCACTCTACCCAGGGCAACA